CGGATTCGTTGCTAACCAATTTACTTCATATACTCATATGGTTAGCGACATCCGATTTCGGATTTGACTGTCACTGTGGCCAGGCACAAGACGCCTGCGCCTACAGAGGGACCATGGGTGGGCTTCGCTGCACCACCCACACATCCCATATTCAGTGTAAACCCGATGGAATAAGACCAGGAGGCATGTGAGTGGCTGGACCGTAGTCCGCTACACATTGAGTGCATTGAACCACTGTTCGAGCCTAGCACGACCACAAGGACCGTGCACCCCGTCCCCTCCAGCAACGACCAACTGTCTCCTGGAGCCAGTATGGACGAGGTAGTGGGTACTATATAGGTAGGCATCTTGTCAACATGCACATCAAGCCCAGTCACATCGGGGATATCAAGCAACACCCAATCACTGGAAATAACACTATCAAATAAAGTATGTCTGTTAAGGCATACAGCTATGCAGACGTAACTCTTCACTAAATGAGCACAAATCGGTTATGAAGAAATCCGCGATAAGTTCAAGACGTCACATAATATATTTCAAGGAAATGTCACAAACTATAAAATGTTATCAAAGTTAACTATAGCTAGCTTCAGTAACGTGTGCAAGTTTATAGAAGACAATTCAGGTAGACATTTATATGAGATAAAAGGACAGTAGGACAATACAGCAAACACACCACCCGAAATAAAGAGACTCAACATGCAAGCACGCGGTTAGTAAATCTAACGCAGCATACCTACAAACGCTATGCCGGTTCTGTCTATGTTCTCTGCAGGACTCGACGTCGTTTCGGTGTTGGCCCAGAGTGGCCTCGCTCATGGCTTACTAGGTCTGCCTGACTCAGGCACTTGCGACCGCACCGCTACAGCACCATGCGCTCGATGTCGATGGAGTACAACCCATCGGCGCCTGTCGCTTCCGAAATTGCCGCTGCTTCTCTGCATGCACGAGGGCTTTCTCTTGCACCTTAGCAACTGCCATCATGATCAGATCGCGCCATACACGCCGAGCAACCGACTTCGATTCTTATGACCTGCAATCAAAATTAGTACGTGAGAGGCTCACTTTGATCATCTCCTGGTAACGAAGCTTCGGTTTCCCCACATGCCGCTTCCGCAAACCGTTGACCACACAATAGATGCTTCGGTATTCGCGTCGAATCCATACGGCTCACATGACCGAGCCACCTCAGGTGTCTCAGCAACAGTATGCCGTCCGCTGAATACATTCCACTACGGCGCAACACTTCCGTGTCTGCAACACTGTCACCCGAGCCGATGTGCAGAATCCGTCTTAGACACTTTTGATGGAACCGCTCGAGATATCGCACATCCCGCAGGGACATCGTCTACGTTTCACTGCCGTACAGAAGAACGGACAGTACCATGGATTTGTACACCATCAGCTTCGTGCCAATGGTAAGCTGATGGTTGTTCCACACTCGGTGCTCTAGCTTCCCGAATGTCGCCGCTGCCTTCGATACGCGAATACGCAGCTCACTGTGTAGCTGCTGATCAGTCGACACCACACTCCCAGGGTAGCAAAACCGAGAGGCGGTTTCCAACACTTTATCACCATTGTAGATAGCACCTCCGGTGAAGGTTGAAAGAGACAGACAGTTTTGCTTGTGTTGATTGTGAGCCCGAATTTGGCCGCTGTCGAAACCAGAGCACTAGACATGTGTCCCAACTCATCCGCGCCGCGTGCAAACAACGTACAGTCGTCAGCGAACAGAAAAATACGGATTGTTGGCTCATAGACTAGAGTTCTCGCACCGAAACGACGGATGTTCAGCAACTCACCATCAATACAGTGCTCCACAGGAACACCGTAAGCACAAGTGGCATCAAAAGCACAAGACATCATTGCATGAAGATAAATATTAAACAGGGCAGGAGTTAAGACACAGCCCTGATTAACACCAGAGATGACTGCCAAGTCATCCGACGTCTCTCCACGGAGCTGCACCCTCGACCTCATACGATTGTGCAGACCTTCAATCACACTTACAAACTCACTCGGACAACCAAACTTACCCAACACCAGCTACAACACCTCACGGTTCACTGTATCAAATGCCTTGATAAAAATCAACAAAAAGCGAGTACAAAAGCTGGTGTCGTCCTCTACACTTCTCTTGCAACTGTCGAGCCGCAAAAACCATATCTATAGTGCTGTGACGCGAACGGAATCCACACTGTTCTTCCGCCACGTTCGGTTCCACAACCTGACTGACGAGACAGTTGAGCAAGATTCGTGCAATCACCTTGCCCACACGACTCAGCAAGTTGATGCTATTAACATTTATTTTTGACATTTGCATGCATGCATAATTCGTGCAACATTGCTTGCTCCCTTTGCCCTTGTAGTGGTAGCAAAAGCGCATCCTTAAGCTCAGGAAGCACCTCCTCCTCAATCCACACGTGTTCCACCAAGGGGTGCAGCGCAGTCACCAACGTAGGTCCGTCGTGTTTCAATACATCAAGCGGGATCCTGTCGGTACCGGCACACTTGCTGTTTCACAGCTGAGCAAGTGCTCTATGTGTCTCATCCAGTGTCGGCGTGTCCGCCAGACTCATCTTGACATCGCGCTGCTTGATGTCGTCCAACGTAAGTCGGTCAATCTCTGAACGGTTGTTCAAGAGACAGTTAAAGTGTTTTTGCCAGACCTGCGTTATGTCTGCAGTCTGTGTGCAGGTAGCGCCTGAGCTACCATCGATCGGGGTCCTCAGCAGCTCAAACCTCGGTCCATACACCACCTTCAAATAGTCAAAGAATTCCTTGTGTTGGGGGCGTTCGGTGTAGCATTTCATATACCTCGCCTTCTCCGTCCATCATGCATTTTTAATGTGACGGAGTTCGCGGGTCAGTCCCCGTGGAAGTTTGCGAAACGGACTATTCTTCCCCATGTCACTGGGGTCTGCCACATGTGCGGCAAATGCTGTATTCTTCTCCACACCAATCGTCGTATAGTTCTCATCAAAGCAATCATGCCGCTTATATTTTGCGCCCCGATTGTCTCCTCTTCAGCAGCTGTCACCTGGTTGCGAAGGTGGTGCCACAGGTTGCCCACTGTGGCTATGTAGTCGACATCATACAGGCAAGCATCCATCGCCTTCTCCAGCTCAATACGTTTCTTCACAGCACCGAGGGAATGTTAAGTTTAGACCGATATATACATATATATATATATATATATATATATATATATATATATATCATAAACGGTGGCGTAGATATTGCGCCATCGGAATCATGGTGGAATAAGAGGATAGGAATAAGAAAGAATATGCAACTTCTTTGTACTAGTCTTTCATTCACCATTTTTGAATATTTTTTGATTGTTCTCTCTAGTAGGAAATGAAAGGGAAACCACTACAATACGCAGAGATACATGTAAGCTATTTACGTCGGTCTCGAGTCATGAGTTCTAGGGTCTCAAACCAGCGACACTCTGTAACTCTGAAATCCCGACCAGGGAGTATAGAACGACCGACCGAGGTGAATTGTTTCGTCGGCATTTTCTTGCCGCTCGTCCAGGTCGTGGGTGGTCCACCGTGTGTACTATGTGGTGGCTGCGCGAAAGCGAAGCGTCGGCGCTGCGTACTGGCGTACTGCTGATGTTTTCCTTCCTACGTTCTTATCTCATCGTTTCCTACTGTGAACTCAGATTGCTCAAGTTCGCATGGTAAGTTGGCGTGTTGGTGACTCACTATGATCACCACCAGCCGGTTACCTTCCAACCACTCAACTAAGACAGATACTGTTACGATGAAAAGGAACATAGATTACGAAGCTGCCAGGTGATTGGCTAAAAAAATGCGAACGAATCATGTGTAAGTTGATTACGTTTATTCCGAGAAAAACAGATTTCGTTGTTATCTGCAGTTTGAGACACAATTCGTTTGTGATAAAGTAACTTTACAGTCATCACACTGATCGCCGCTTTAGTACGGCTAAACGATTTGTTTCCGGTTAGAGGCACACCCAAAATCTCCTATAAAATTTATGCTAGAAACACTGAACATGAGATTTACACACGTATCTGCTGTCTCTGGTGATCAGCAACTGATTGATTGCCAAGAACGGTAGTCTAGCTTCTTCCAGGCCGCAAAGCGTTATTTTGTCAGAACACTTCTTTTAAGATGGCGGTGGACAAATAATAAAGCGCAAGCCAACATACTGGCCCCACAAGATGTGTAACCCGATTTGGAAATTTTGTTGTACAAATCGCAGCTATTGCGGATTCAACCGGTACACTATTCTGGACCATGTCTCCCAGTGTCAAGAAATATAACACCTGATCGATCCACATAGTTAACAAGTAGGACTGAAACCAACCTCAGGTGAAATGGCCTCTACGAGTGTCCCGTGAGCGGTTCGATAAAACTTCGTGTCCAGTGTTGCTGTTGCGGTTACTGAGGACAATGCGGTGATCCGATGTGTTCATCAACTAGGGGAGAGTAATATTGATGTGACACAGTAATGTAACATCCTACGAAGTTGGCCAGACGACCAAGATGGTGACGGTATAACAAAATGGCGAAGAGAAAAATGGTTGGCAAATCACAAGAACAGTAAGTAGGTTACAGGACCGCGAATAAAGCGTCCAACACTGTAGATGACCGGTGTGAGATGCAGCTCCTTCACAAGTGTATGGCAGCTCAATTTGTTTAGGTGTTGCTTGTTAACAAGGTCTTTCTTCTTAGGTTAAGGTTACAAGGCAACGACGCGCTACCATAAGAAATATGAGATAGGTACATGTCCTTGCCACTAAGGTTCCAGCAGTAATAACAATCATAGCCCGCAGGTTTCCAATGCGATATCTTGCTACGATCAAAGTGATTCACATGTGCTGTGTCTCATCCCAAGGAAATCGGGGAGATTCGGGTAGCGGGTAAAAGACAAGTTAACCCACTTAAAGAATAGTGCGCCATAGCTGATTGTGTAAGAAATAACAAATGAATGCATCGGGCACGCACTCCTGCCTTCTCCAAGATGAGGCAAAGCTTCATGATATTTGAGAATCCTGATTAGCCAAACAACACTTCTGTGCTAAAGGGAGCGAAGACACTTCAGCGATTACAGAGTGTTAGAGGCGTAATTAGATAACACTGATTTACGCAAACGTAGACGGTTTAGGATTTATTACAAAAGAGAACAAGGGGAAGGAAACTTACATCAGAATACAAGGGATTCAGACGAGTTGTATCAATAAAATGACTAGGGGGAGGAGGACACGGTCGGCGAGCCATGTAATGTGTATACGAAAATGCGTCCATGCTCTTGTAGTCGTAGTACGGGTTCTTCACACACCTACGTTCATATCTTCGTGTGATTTTTGGCTCCGCGAACGGAGTGGACCCTCGAGGCATCCAGTATCTATCTGCAGTGTTGCTTAGAACGTCCCGATTGGTCAATTGATGGAAGGGTGAGAAGGGGAGTGCATTGTTTGTAGGAGGGTATCGATAGAAATGGTATGGATCCGGTCGAAATCCAGGTAAAGAATGTGGTTCTGTTGGTAGAAAAATCTGGTTCGTAGGTAGTCGCGGAACCCCATAGTCGAAGCTTGAAGGATGTGGATAATTTCTAGATTTGCTCGAAGAGCACCAAATCGCAGGTGCTTCGTCGCCGTTGTGGGTGTCAACAGGAGACGATTCCGAGTCTGTAATTTCGCAAACTGCGAAGGCGAGTAAAATGGTTTGATGCGGTAAAGTAGGAAGCGGCGCAACACAGTGAGTAGAATAAAAATATAACAAAAAGCAGAGACTAAACTACAGAAACCTTGTTCATGAGTGAAAGTGCTCAAATCCACAGCTGACGTTACGCAGAATGCACACAATAAACAGTACATTGCGATAGAAAGGCACTGAAGATAACAGGGATAAAAGATGGGTACGTGGCGCAATGAAGACAAGTGTATACGCACGCTTAGAAGGCACATAAATTGGCGCAAAAATAACGACCTGTATGGAAGGAGAAGTCAACCGAAGCAACACGACAACAGACAGTGGCAATTTCTGCCGAATCAGTAGAGTCAGTTAAACATAACAGCTAATCTACACCAAAAATCAGGTACTGTTAATTTGAATCGGACAGGCAAGAACAAGTTAAAGCACAATTTAACTTATGGACATTGAGGGAACTGATGATTGTGCGGATAGCTTTGATATTTCCGGCGACAAGTGGTTGCTCCCAAGAGTATCAGCCACATGGTTTGTTACTATCCGAAGAAATCAAAGAACATTTGTAGCCGTAACGAAGAAAACAGAAAGGCGTGAGAAAATGGACCTATGTGAATACTCCGAACGCAGGTAATACAAAGCAGCCTATATTTACTAAATATAACTTGGAGCATGACTCCGAATTTAAGAGAATCATCGGTCACAACGAACTGATTGACCCCTCGAAGACAAGTCAAATTCCTCCAATACGTGTAATTCAGCGAACGATCCGGATTCACGAGAATCCCTTCTTAAGAAGCGGTTGTAATACCTTGAATAGTAACAAGCAGCCCTACATTTAGGATTAAAAAACGATATGAATAAACGAGGATTCTCTCAAATATGTTTAAAACAGATAGCGTGGAGCTGGGGGATAAAATCTGGCTACGGCGAACCGTACCTCATAAGTCAAACATTGTGTCGTGATGAATGTGACGCTACACATGGATTCGGTGAACCACTCCACACCGTGCAATCGCACCATTTCGGAGCCCACGATTTTCGCGGATCCCCCCTAATCTTGATATTCAACACTGAGCTTCCATTCATTCCAATGAGATGTATCGGCTCTACAAAGTGAATATTAAACAGTCGGATTCTACTTAAGGTTTTAAAATCTTAATCACCTCGGCAATTTGGACGGACTTGTTCTCAAAACGCTCACGCGCAAGTACCACATTTAAAACTCCCGTTGGACTTTTTACCCTCACTCGAGAGTTTACTCCAGGCTATCCGAACAGCCTAAACTCGCGCTCACCCAACAGTATGTTTCGTCACTACATCATATTTTTTAACCGCCAGTCCATATTGTTCATCCGAAATCCAATCGCGCACGGTACACAATTTTCCTTTGTCCACCAGGATCGCTAGTGATCGGAAATCGCGTCACCGCCCTTCTCTATTATGTGTGACCAGCCTGAGACACGTTTCGTGTCGGGCCGAACTATCGAATTCAGAGGACCAGTGGAGTAACACCGGGTGCAGGAGTGTAGATAGCTGCGACCAGAAGTTAGTTCTCAATGGATGGCGGATGAACGATCTTGATGGTCACAGGCTTCTGCAAAGGCGTATGAGCCACCTGGCTGTCAACGCCTTTGGGCTCTCTTCTACCAGTTTGGTGGTCCAGGAGATTTCTTCTGGCCTCCGTTTTGTTTCATTCTGGATTCTTGGGCGTCCGGAGTAGTTTATTCCTACTCGAAATCCATGTTAGCATCATCGTGGCAGCCGGCTCCCAACGGTATGCGATATACGTTAATCGCCCCGCTGCCCTGCGGGTCAGGTCTTTAAGGTCTTTAGGGTGGAGTCCCCTAAGTCAACGCACTTCCTCAGCCTGGGCAACCGAGACGCTACATGCACACACAACTTATAAACCATTGCTTCGATGACTTTCCTCTCTCTCTCTTTGCGCTTTGCCAATGCTACACTCGGCCGAGGTGTTGGCGGCCGAACACGCTAGATAGCGCTCTATCGCACCACAGTTCGGTTACTTTATTCCACGTTTGTTTAACTCAACCATCCTTGGTAATCCCTCTCCGGTTAAGAGTCCACAACATCGTGCCGCCTTGGGTGTTCTCGCCATACGGATCAGGAATTTAAGTCCGAGGGTGCACCCCAAGTAGTACTGGCAAGCATTTTCTAGCGCCCTTTTCCCAAATTCAAGCTGGCAACCTTTAACGTCCGGACGCTGATGCAGATAGGATCACAACCAGCCCTTACTCGTACGCTTGGGACTACTGTCATTGATAGCTGCAGCCTCACTGAAACCTGGTTTCACCGTCTGCGAGTTCCGCTTGCATTTTTACTTTGCGCTTATCTGTGGATGTAACCGCCGAAGCCACTGGTCTTGTCGGAGTGGAGATTGTGTTGATCCCACGTGCCTAGGCCGCACTATCATACTGGATCCCTGTCGACAGTTTACTCTGCGCGATCCGATTTGAGACCACAGTGGGACTTTGCAGTCGCAGGACTAGCAGATGTTGCTTGTACGTTGTAGCAGCGTACGTTCTCAGAGACTACAGCCAAGACTCAGTTAAAGGCGAATTCTACTGTCAACTATCCGACTTTCTCCGAAAAAAGCGCCACACAGACATCGTGGTGCTTGCATGGCTCTTAAACGCACAGGTCGGTAGACTTGAGGTTGAAGAGCGTGAACTCGGTAGTCGACATGGCCACGGCATCCGCATTACAGACAATGGTGATCGCGTGATAAAGCTCTGCGCCGATCATGGCCTCTTTCATTCAAGTATCAGCTTTCGGCGTCAAAACGCAACCTGAAGGCCTCCGTCGCCTGGCCAGCCATGGACGCAAATTGATCACGCCGACATTAGTTATCACTGGCGGGGCTGCATACAGGGTTGCAAATAAATTTGGAGTACTTAAACCATTACGTATCACGTGCTCGTGTGTGCCAAGATCATCTTACGTTTTGGTGATTCCCAACAGTGTAGCCGGAAACGGCTTGACGTGGCTAAGCCTTCTGCTCCGAGCGTTCTCAGCCATTTCAGGATGCGTTGGCCGCAAATCTCAAAAGCGCCCCGAGCCATGACATTGAAACGCACTTGGCACACACCCACAGCGACATGCACAACTCCGCGACCCTCGCCTGTGGTTTCACCAGTAGACCTGTCAAACACTGGATCTCTGCACGATCCTTCCAACTTCTGGAAGATAGTAGGGCAATTCCAGTTGGCGTTGAGTATCATCGACTACGCAGGAACACTAACGCTGAACTCAAGCTGCTCGTTTGAGAGGATCTCGAGGTATGGTGGACGCAATGAGTCATTGATATGGAGCAGGGGGCCAGCTCGGGGGAACTTCGGAAAACTTCCTACCTGATCCGATAAACTGGCAGCAGAAGGACGACTGGCAATTGTTTTAGGCTATGCTTTGCTCCACTGAAATGCAAAGTCCTTCTCCAAAATTGGCAGGAACCCACGCCTGTGCAGCTTGAAGTCGTTCAGGAATTCAAGTACCTTGGCAGATATATTAGCACCCGTTGGATTGAAGATGATATTCCGAACCGTAAAGCAAAAGTTCGAGGTGCTTTGCCAACCACCGCCACCTGTGGCGCAGACTGGACTGGCAATCTATAATGCAGCCGCCAACTCAACCCACTTATACAATTGTGAAACCCGGCCCATCAAGTCGACAGACATAAAGAAGCTAGTCACGTCCGATCATCGCTGCCTTCGCAGCTTAGCTCATGTCTGGTGAGAGCACCGCGTGAGCAATGAGCGCTCGACGTTGGTGCAGGAAGAGCGACTGAACTGCTCAGTACCATCACATCACGCACCAGGCTCCGGTGGCTGCGCCATGTATTGCGCGTGCCACTACACCGATTCCCGCGATGTGCATTGCTTGTACACCGGGGGTGCGGTCGGAAGAGGAGGGGAGGCAAAACGATTATTTGGTCGAGAGAAATGAAAATACTCACTTCAAAGTTGGCGTCGGTTGGTGCATCCAGACTGCCTGGATGGGGTCCTAAGGACGATGAACACGTTTGGTTGAACAAACTTACTGATATGGCGAAGAGCCGGCCCCAACGGCGTTTGTGTTCAGTTTTTTTTGTCCATCTCCCTCCCGTTTAGATTATCCCTCCAATTCCGATCGCATACGAAATGCATACTACAATATTTAACATTAGAATACTTGCTTTGACTTTTATGTAGTGGAATTTTTTAGTATCCTATCTTTTGGCACTGCGGCACATTAGCTAAGGTGTGTTTCTCACTCTAAGCTAAAGTGCATTGTTGATAATGATGGTGAAAGCTGAGGGTAAACGAAGTTTTGTGCGAAAGTAATGGCGAGCCAGTCCATTGACGAAAACGCCGAATTGAGCGTTGGGCAGAGCAATCTAAGCAGCAGCACCGGCGTGTCCTTATTCAAGTGTCCGTAGTGTTCCCTGGTGTGCAGACGCTTCACCATCATGTGAGGCTGAGGTCGTTCATCAGCTTCGCCTCCTAAAGCGCTACAAAACCGCTGTTCGGAACAAAATCCTTCAGGCTGTTTTCAAAGATAGAAGTCTATCACTCGTTCTGGAGTTAACTTCCTTCCTCTAAGAAGTTAAGACCACCGAAGCACCCCCGTCTGATTGAAGTCTAGCGGACAATGTGCCCGTCTTCAAAAAGGGTGCCGGTCAGACTGCGTTAACCACAGAGGGATTAGTCACATCTGCGTAGCATCTAAAGTGCTGGCCGCCTTGCTTTTAAGGAGTTTCAGCACAGAACGCGAAGAGAACATATACGAACAGAACATATACGAACAGCAGGCTGGATTCGGCTCCAGTAGGAGTTGTATCGATCACATCTTTACGCTCCGATGAATAGAGCGTCGTCAAACGTTCAACTCGCCAACCATGTTTGTCTTCTGTGCATACGAACCACTTTTGACTCAGCTAAGCAAGCTACTTCCTGCAGCTATTTATGGAGATGTGTGCCCGAGAAATTTGTTCGCATTC